AAACATGTTGCTTTTGTAACAACTCAAGTCTACCACTTACATTATTATCATCTTTAGGTTTTCCCTTTTGGGCTTCGCGTAAAAGTTTTTAAAACACTTTTATTAGAGAGACTTTTCCTTACCCAAAGTTATATACAGTAGTTGTTATTTCTCTCTTTCTTGCTTATATAACATCTCTTTCAAAAATTTCTCTTTCGAAAATCTCTCTCTACCCTCGTTTTCTAAAACCTTCTCTTAAAACTGAGGCCAGAGGCTCGAGCATACGTCGCTTGGCCGTAGGCGACGCGAGAACGAATTGGCTTAGCTCACTTGTCATTGGAAAATGAGTGCCACACAATCACAAGTTCGCCATTAAAACTGCAATCCACACCCTTGTAAAGAACGCTATGTTCTCCCCCCAACCGATGTGGGATCTTAGAGTTGCGCGTGCATGTTCAATCTTCTACAATCCAACCAATTTGCTTTTACACTAGTCCAAGTTATTTGACTCGACCTTATCTGGAGTCAAAGTTTTTCAGTGCAACCTTATAGCTCACATCATTTAGACTACCAGTTAACATAATTTACATGTCTAAACGCCGTCAGAAGAAAATCTTTAACTTTGTTTAATTTTTTTTAAAAAAATTAAATTATGTTTTTTTTCGTACGATTATTGTAGGGTTATAATTTTACACCAACATTCCTTAAAGTATACTATTTCTTCAAATTTTGGGTTTTTTTTTTTCCTTTTTCTTGCCGGTGGAAAATAAATTGCATATAAATGAGTAAATGCATTATTTTATTTTCATAAATAATGGAGTATCAATCGAAGATATATACAGAAATTATGGAATAATAATTCAACATATAATATATATATATATATATTATTGAAAAATGTTTCATAAATAGCTGAAATGTTTGTCAGTGACGTTGGAAATAGATTTTGTTGTATTTTTTAGAGGAAAAAAAAAAGTTACAAATAAATGAAATATTTTATTTAGTACAAATGGAATTTTTATTATGAAATTGGAATATTTTGGTCATTTCACTAACTTATAGGTTAATTAAGAGACCAGTAATAGAGGTTAAGACTTTTATTATTATTATTATTATTATTATTATTATTATTCATTTAATTCTATCTGGATTGCATCGTTCTGCTTATGTTTTTCCTTATTTTTTATAATTAAAAAAAAAGAATTATTAATGAAATTTCAAAAAACAATTTTTTTTTTTTTAAATCAGCCGCATAAAAAGACTAAAAACCCCTCCAGTTTAAAAATATATATATTTTAAAATAATTTATCTATGTCAAAGTTAATAAAAATATTTAAAAAAAAAAAAGACGTATTTTACAGTGAAATTAAAATTATGTAAAATCATTTATTTAATTAAAAGAAAAATAATTAGACATTTATACCTTAAAAAGTAAAGCTTAAAAACAAATTAAAATTTAATTAGGAAGGTTAAAAGTCATTTAAGCTATTCAACTAGTTAGCATTTAAGTGATAGTTGCCCGCACTAGTCTCACATTAATGAGAGTGCACGATGCGGTCCCCTTTCTCCTCTACCTATACTTCCCTGTGTAATTCTTGAACTAGAGATTGTCTGGTAATTTCGCAAGATTTAGTTTTCGTGATATTCATCCTAAATGAGACGAGAATTTGAGGAAGGAGTTAGAAAAAATTTCTCCCCGTTAACTAAGTAAGATTAGAGGGGACTGAGGACAGGGGTTATATTTACCGTTCTGATATATTTACAGAACTAATCTATTATATTCATATAAACGCGATGAGAGGTCATCGAGAACGAGTATTATATTCAATATTCCCGTCTCTGCTATATATATATATATATATAATTATTAAAATTTATTAGAAAAATTAAATTATTAGATATTTGCAAAATAACTCAAAAATTATATTTGGACCATAAATTTAATGGGGAAAAGGTAAAGTGTAATGGCCAGCTATTAATTTATATTTAAGACCAATTTTATTTATTTAGATTCTAATTTTAATTTTGACTTATTATATATCAATTAAGGTATGTTTTAATAAATAATGTTGATAGTTTCAAATATTTAAAAAATTATTTATTTATTTATTTTTTCAATTTATAACTATTTAGTTCTAGAACTTTCTTCGTAATTTTAGTTTTTAAATTAAAAATGAGTAATAATTTAATCTCTATGAATTTTTATTGTTTTGTTTCTAATTAATATTTCAATTAAAAATTTTATTAAATATTAACATAGTAAACACTAAATTATTTAAAAAATTTAAAATACACCGACTAAATTATTATACATTAAAGTATAATGACTAAATTGTTATATATTATTGTTAAAAAAAAAATGTTATAAAATAATTAAAAAAATACGGAATATCGAAATTTAGAGTTGGTTTGAGTCTTGAAATTGATTTTTTTTTGTCGGGTCAACCCAATTAACCCACAAATAAAGTTACGACTCTATCCTACTTCTCGGACTACTATGAAAGTTTAAAATATTTGAAGTTTGTAACTGATATTTAATATTTGAATTTTATGAAATTTTAGTTATTGATACAACATGTAACCGAGATAAAATTATAAATATAATTTTGTAAAATATATATATATATATATATATATATAAATAAAGATCAACTCAACAAGTTAACCCAACCAAAGGTTGAGTTTAGGGTTTAGGGTTTAGAGCCGAGTTGGTCGACCCTTCGCGAACATTACACCTGATGAGTTATAACCTTTATTTATTATTAAAAACTATATTGTAATTGAAAAACTAAAGAAAAAAATATGTATGAACGTCCAGGAAGTTGCAAAAGGATTCCCGAACAACCCTAGAATGATATAGAAGGTCTTAGAAATATTCCGCTATAGTTAGGGTAGTTAAACCAACTCTCACGTAGAGGCTTAGCTTAGGATCCCACTACTCGTTGTATTTGGTTAGGTATTGCTACCAAGCATGAATTCGAAAATCACGATGATATTACTGAAAAATGTCTTTATCATAACATTTTTGCGTCTCATTTTAAACAATTAACAACAATTTTTTAGAGCGGTTCATCCTTCCCGAACACAACATACAATTCTCCATTATACCGCACTCTCCAAGTGTACTTATTCCCCCTTCCTCACCACAACAAGTTTTTATGAAATAGCTTCGATGAAATCCAATGCATATTATATCAATAACTAAAATCTCATAAAATCCAAATACAAAATATTTACACATTACAAACATTCTTAATATTGTTAAAAGTAGGGTCGGGTTGTAATCTTATTTTCGAGTAACCCGACCAAATTTTCTGATTTAAAAAAATTCAACCCAAACCAAACCGGAAAAAAATCCAATCCAACCCAACCCAACCCAACCCAACCTTTGTAGTTTTAGTTGAGTAAACCAGATTGATCGGGTTATCGAGTCATTTTAAATAGTTTAATGCGGCGTAGAAAAGCTTTAATGAAGATTAAATTGTTGTTTATTGGATGTGGAATGGCATAGACTCATCATTACATCATATTAATGAATATTAATATAAAAATAAAAAAAAATATTTATATTACATAAATAATTAAATAAATATGAAATGTTGTATTAGTTGAATTAATTGGAATTAAGATAAGAAATTGAGATAAATAAGAATTTTAATTTAATAATTAAAATATAATTAGAAGATTGACGGTTGAAGTATAATTAATGGATAATTATGAAGCTTATTTAATAAAGGAAAAATGATACTTTTTATTTAAAAAAAAAAAAAAAAAGAAAGGAACTAAAGTAGAATATTGAGTGATAAACAAGACATTAGTTAAACAAAATAATAAGTTAATTAAGGGAGGAATATAATTTAAATTAAAAGAAAATTAATGGGCTTTTTATAAAGCCCATTGCCTCATGCCTATGATAATAATTAATAGGTTAATATTAAATTGAATTTTTAATAGTTTTTAAATTTTTTTTTATTAATATTCTTCTAATTACTTTAAAAAAAATTAAAAAATAGTTGTCTTAAAATTAGTATTAATACGCTCTATTTTTATAAAAAAAAAATCAAAAAAATTCTTAAGGTCAGGGATGAAAACTATGTACCAATACCTCATAAATTATCTAAAAAACGTTTTAATGTTACTTTGGAAATGAAAGTGCTAAATGTAAATATAAATGTATTTTTGAATTTTTTTAAAAATTAAAAAGTTTCGGAGGTTAATGAATCTTTTGAAAATCAAAGTAGTTCAGAGACGCTTTTGAAAATCGGGTATTTTTTAAAATATTTTAAAAATTTAAGGATATTTTTAAATAAGAGTATTTGAAAAGTTTTAAAAGCTTAAGGATAGTTTTTAGATATTTTAAAAGTTCAAGGGTATTATTGAAACTTTTGAAAATTTATGGGTATTTTTTAAGATAAAGTTCAAAGTTTAAAAATATTTTTATTTATTTTTTCGGGTGCTGCTTTCAATTTTTTTTTTTTTAACATTATTCTATAATTGTTTGGTTTTGAATGATATAAAATCAGGAGAGTGTTCATGGGTTGGATTGGATTGAGTCGAAATATATTTTTTAAAATAACCTAATTATTTGGATAATAATTTTGTTTTTAATCTAAATAACATTCGTTAAATAATAAATCCAACCCAATCATAAATATTTTGGGTTAAGTTGGTTTCGATTATTTAGATAATTTATTTAAAATTTTATTTTTAATACGATTTAATTTTAATATATATATTTTTAAAAATTATCTAATATAATAATAAATTATTTCAAAAAGGCTGTGAGAGAATAAAACAATGATGAAATTAAAACAAATATATATATATATATATATAATTCCGTAGGAAAAAAGAAAAAATATATATTTTAAAAATAACTATAAATTTAAAATAGTGATTAAAATTTTTGAGAGTGGAAGAGTAATTTTAAATCATATTTGCAATAATTTAGGCTTAAAAAAAATGATTATTTTATTTTATTTTATTTTTTTATTTTTTTAAATAACGATTTTGATGCCATTTCCAGCCATTTGGTGCGGAATGTTGAGCAGTGGCAAGTTTCAGGTATATCTACTCACTGCACCCTCCTTCAAGGCGGCGTCATCGTCATCATCCACATTCTTTTCAGCTTCTGTAATTCATTCTGGAAGGTTACGCAGCCGCAACCGGCGCTTCTCCTCCTCCTCCTCTCCGCCGCCCAATTCGGGTTTACATTCAATTGGTTGCAGTATCTCACAGTCTCAGGCGATGGAGGTCAATCCTGAAAGCAAGAAAAACGACAAGGTCCTAGACAGCCTCAACTTCTTTTCCGTCAAACCTTACGTCCCGCCGTCATGGGCCTCACACCTTAATCCAATCCCAACTCACTTCTCTTCTCTTGGTCATGTAAGTTCCCAATTCCCAATTTCGTTTCCGTCGTGTCTTCTGAATCTCTTGCGATAATTGCTTCATTAAGAACGGATTACTGTTTTGGAATCAGCTTCCAACTCCCATTCACAAGTGGAACCTTCCCAATCTGCCCGCGAACACCGAGGTCTGGCTCAAGGTAATTCGTTCTGATTGAACTTTTTCTCTTACGGAAATTCGTTTGATTGTTTTCTGGCTAATGTGGAAATGGATGTCAACCATGTTCTTGAGTGTTTAAATTTGTCAAAAACTGGACAGAACAATGAATTTTGTTGTTGCTATTTTCGATCGTACAATCTATTTTCAGGCGTATGAGCAGAATTTATGGAAATGTAGGGCCATAGGATAAATAATGGATCAAATAATGGAAGGATTACATAACTTTTTCTCACACTACGAGATCTTTGCTTTGATGAAACTTTCATATTTCTATATATAGCTACAGTAACATACAAGTTTGATTGGCCTCTTTTGCTCAAGGGCTTCATAATTATACTTTGATTCCCTTCCTATCAATAGAATTTTTCAAGTACTTTTTGTAATTAACTTGAGGCAAGAATAAATTGGCCGCCCCATCTGCAACTGTGAGAACCTTAGGCAAGCTCCAGTTGGGGCTTAGTTGGGGCTTGGTTCTTGTAACAACTCAAGCCCACCGCTGCGGAAACTATCCTCTTTAGGCTTTCCATTTCGGGCTTTCGCTCAAGGTTTTAAAACACATATGCTAGGGATAGGTCTCCACACCCTTATAAAGAGTGCTTTGTTCCCCTCTCCAATTGATGTAGAATCTCACGATCCATCCCCTTTGAGACCCAACATCCTTGCTGGCACCTCGCCCAGTGTCCAGATTGTGAGATCCCACATCGACTAGAGAGGAACGAGTGCCAGCGAGCATTGAAGAGAGGTGGATTGTGAGATCCCACATCAGTTGGAGAGGGGAACAAAACACTCTTTATAAGAGTGTGGAAACCTCTCCCTAGCGGATGCGCTTTAGAACCTTTAGGGGAAGCCCGAAAGGGAAACTTCAAAGAGGACAATATCTACTAGCGGTGGGCTTGAGCTGTTACAGTTCTTTTACATGGTTTTCACATTTTAGAATTAAAGTTACTTTTAATTGAACGTACGATGATCTGTATGAACTTTGACATCCTGTTTAGAATGGTGCCAGACAGTATACAAATTCTCTAAATCTGAAGATTGTTCAGATTTGTGGTTCATGTTTTGTTGGAAGCATAATTTGATCCATTTTTCTAAATATTCCTAGTTTAGACATTCTCGTTTAATTTTGCTTTTCTTTTTGGTTTTTCTCTATTACTGTTTACACTGATGAATACTATGAATACAGCGTGATGATCTTTCAGGAATGCAATTGAGTGGCAATAAAGTCAGAAAATTGGAATTCTTGATAGCAGATGCTTTGCAACAGGGTGCTGATTGTATTATAACTATAGGAGGCATCCAAAGCAATCACTGTCGTGCGACTGCTGTGGCTGCAAAGTATTTCAATCTCGACACTTATCTTATTCTACGCACTTCGAAGGTCATCTTTATTTTTCCTATCTGTTTTGAACTATTTTAGTTACAAGGATACCAGCTTTTCTGAATTGTTATGGTTTGATGTCCTATGTTATGTCTATGATTCAGGTCCTTGTGAACCAAGACCCTGGATTGACTGGAAATCTCCTTGTTGAGCGGTTAGTTGGAGCTCATGTCGAACTTATCTCAAAAGAAGAGTATGCAAAGATTGGAAGCGTGGTTTGTCGATTTCTTCTCTTTTACCATCTTCGTCTTTTGGGTTTTCGAAGAAATTTATTCTCCTATTAATTCTACAAGCCTGACAGATTTCTTAAGAAGCATGGAGCTAACTGATTTCAATATATTTATATTGTGTTCGTTTCGATATCTGCTGATAGTTATTTTTGTTCTTGGTTTTAATTTCAGGCCCTCACAGATTATCTAAAGTCAAAGTTAATCGCTGAAGGAAGAAAGCCATATGTTATTCCTGTTGGAGGATCAAACTCTCTTGGAACTTGGTGAGAATCTTTCTTCCTTTTTCCTTCCAAACTTCTACTTCACTTTAGGATCATTTCCTAGCAGCGTGTTTGATTTTCCTCTCAAGATTTATGTGTAGCAGCCAAGCTCACCGCTAGCAGATATTATCCTTTTTGGGCTTTCCCTCCTAGGCTTCCCCTCTAGATTGTTAAGACTGTGTGGCTAATGACGATACATAACGGACCGAAGCAGAAAATATTTGCTAGCGGTGGGCTTGAGCTGTTACAAATACTATCAAAGTCAAACATCGGGTGGTGTGCCAGCAAGGACGTTGGTCTTCCAAAGGGGTGGATTGTGAGATCTCACATCGGTTATAGAGGGAACGAAACATTCCTTACAAGGGTGTGGAAACTTCTCTCTAATAGCTGCGTTTTAAAATCTTGAGGAGAAACCTAGAAGGGAAAGTCCAAACAAGACAATATCTGCTAGTGGGCTTGGATTGTTACAAATGGTATCAGAGCCAAGCACTGGGTGGTATGCCATCTAGTATGCTGGATCTCCAAGGGGGTGGATTGTGAGATCCCACTTGGTTGAAGAGGGGAACAAAACATTCCTTATGAGGGTGTGGAAACCTCTCCCTAACAGATGCGTTTTAAAACTTCGAGGAAAAACCCAAAAGTCCAAAGGAGACAATATCTACTCGCGGTGGGCTTGGGCTGCTACATTATGCCCTTCTAGTTTGATTTCTTCTAATTTCTTATTTATCAAAGTAGCAAACGGTAATGTGTAGCATAATTATTATTTGAATACTGATAATTGCATGATTATCATCAATGCATCCTTTCCGTCTCTCCCAATCTCTCCATTATCACAATATTAATGAGTAACAAATGTATTTTGGTTATGTTTTCAGGGGTTATATTGAAGCAGTTAGGGAGATTGAACAGCAACTGGATACTGTAAATGATAAGATCAAATTTGATGATATTGTAGTAGCTTGTGGCAGGTTCTGTTTTTCTTATCTGGTTCATAAGAACACTTGATGTCTTCTTGTTTGGTTTCATGTTCTACTTCTGGTTGTTTTCAGTGGGGGCACGGTCGCTGGTCTCTCCTTGGGATCATGGTTGAGTACATTGAAGGCAAAAGTATGATCTGTATAGTTCTTGGTCTTTACATACATCTCAGTTCCTGTCTTTTAATTTCGTTGAATCTGCAGATTCGTGCGTACTCTGTTTGCGACGATCCCGATTACTTCTACGACTTTGTTCAAGGTTTACTCGATGGGCTTCATGCCGGTGTTGACTCGCGTGATATAGTTGAATTCCAAAATGTAAGTTGGAGTTATTAATGGTTGCTTATGTTTGGCAGCAGCATTATTTGTACAATCACATTGAAGTGAAACCAGTTTGATATCTGTTCTATAGAACCAAATCTTCTTCCCGTTCAAACTTTCATCTCCACAAAAGAAATTTGAGATGAACCGTTCTTTATTTCTTGTCATTCTTTATTTAGGCAAAGGGTCTTGGGTATGCAATGAACACGCCCGAGGAGCTTAATTTCGTAAGAGAAGTTGCCGAATCCACAGGCGTTGTTCTTGATCCAGTATACAGGTACGTTGTTATTATTACACTAGTTGAGCTCACACAGAGAAAAATGTAATGGCTTTGGGTTTGGGTTTGGCTCTCTCTCTCTCTCTATATATATATGTAACCGCTTAAGTCCACTACTAGTAGATATTATCCGCTTTAGTCCGTTACGTATTGTCTTCAACCTCACGGTTTTAAAAACGCATCAGTTAGGAAGAAGTTTCCACACCCTTGTAATGAATGTTTTGTTCCCTTCTCTAGCCGATGTGAGATCTCACAAAACGCGTCAGATAGTGTGGCTCTGATACAATTTGTAACGGCTCAAACCCACTACTAGCAGATATTATCCTCTCTGTATCATTGTCAATCTCATGGTTTTTAAAACACGTCTATTAGGGAGAGGTTTCCACACCTTTATAATGAATGTTTCGTTCTCCTCTTCAACCAATATGGGATCTCACAATCCCTCGTTGGGAGCCTAGCATCCTCGCTGGCACACCGCTCGGTGTCTGGCTCTGATACCGTTTGTAACAGCCTAAGCCCACTGTTAGCAGATATTGTCATCTTTGGGCTTTCACGTATCATCATCAGTCTCATGGTTTTTAAAACACATATGTTAGGGAGAGGTTTCTACACCTCTATAATGAATGTTTCGTTCTCCTCTCCAACCGACGTGGGATCTCACAATTCATTACGTGTTATTTTCAGCGGAAAAGCAGCGTATGGAATGATGAAAGACATGAGTGAGAATCCAAAGAAGTGGGAAGGAAGAAAGATCCTGTTCATTCATACAGGAGGACTGTTGGGACTGTATGACAAAGCTGATCAAATGGGTTCAAGGTTGGGGAAATGGCATCGTATGGACGTTAATGAGTCCGTGCCTCGAATTGATGGAGTTGGAAAAATGTTCTGAATCAACAGATAAGCCACCAACCCACTGTACTCTGTACTCTTTCCTTGACAACTAAAGACAATGGATTGTGCAAATAATGTTGCCCATTGGGGATGTTCACGACCCAAAGACATTTTTCAGACTCAATTCAATTGTTCGAGTTGTAAGTTTTGTTAATTTCAATAACTTTTATTGGACAATGAATCTTAAGATCCTACATCGGTCATCGATTGGAGAGGAGAACAAAACATTCTTTACTAGAGTGTAAGTTTTGTTAATTTCAATAGCATACACGTTTTAAAAAATCGTGAGGGTGATGGCGATACATAATAGGCCAAAGCGGATAATATCTACTACCGGTGGTTTGGGCTGTTACAAATCGTATCAGAGTGAGACCCCAGGACTCCCCAAAGGGTGAATTGTGAGATCTCACATCGGTTGGAGAGATGAATGAACATTTCTTACTAGGGTGTTGATACGTAATAGGTAAAAGCGGACAATATCTGCTACCTGTGGTTTGAGCTGTTTCAAATGATATTAGAGAGGGCTCCCCAAAGGGTGAATTGGGAGATCTCACATCGGTTGGAGAGATGAATGAACATTTCTTACTAGGGTGTTGTAATAGGTAAAAGCGGACAATATCTGCTACCTGTGGTTTGAGCTGTTTCAAATGATATTAGAGTGGACGCCAGACCTCCTCAAAGGGTGAATTGTGAGATCTCACATCAGCTGGAGAGAGGAATGAAACATTCCTTAGTGTGGAAATCTCTCCCTAGCAGAAGCGTTTTAAGGATGATGAATACATATAATGGACCAAAGCGGATAATATCTTCACAATGGTATGATATTGTCCGCTTTGAGCATAAGCTCTCATTGCTTTGCATTGGGCTTCCCCAAAAGCCCTCGTACCCATAGAGATAGGATTCCTCACTTGTAAACCCATGATCTTCTCCAATAATCCTCAACAATCCTCCTCTCGAACAAAGCACACTATAAGTCTTCCCTGAGGCTTATGGAGCTCTCGAATAGCCTCCCCTTAATCGAGGCTCGACTCCTTTCTCTAGAGCCCTCAAACAAAATACACCATTTATTCGACACTTAAGTCACTTTTGACTACACCTTCTCACAATTCTTTGTTCAATATTTAAGAATTCGAGTTTATGTTTCCATTAAGGAATCCAGAGAAGATGTTAGAGAAGATGCTTGTGATTGGAAAACAAAAGGCATAGCCATTGGCATTCTTACATCTTCTTCTTCTTCTTGATCAAGTCAGGATTATCCATTTCAATAAGAAACCACATTACTTCTGATATGCATTTACAAAACGCATATTCCTTCTCAAGAACAACAACAACAAAACCATAAGAAATCTCTGCGATTCAAAATTTCCTCGTATAAAACCCTCACCCTCCCACAATTATCTCCATTCAACAATGGCGGAACAGGCACCATCAGATTTGCCCAACGAAGAATTCAAACCTTTCTGCGAATGGAAAAGGCTCGAAGACTCCGATGTTCTTCAGGTTCATCTCGCAGGTACATTATCAACTCACGCTTTCCTTCGCTTTCTCATAAACACATTCATAGCGATTCGAATTTCATAAACAGAATTCAAGAAGGAAGAATTGAGGGTTCGGATCAAGAACAACTCCGTCCTTACACTTACCGGCGAGCGCCTAGCAGCCGGAGACTGGAAGAAGATCCGTTTCAACAGTGAAATCAAACTCCCAAAGGATACACCTCCAGATCAAATCCGTGCCAAATTCGGCGACTCTGTTCTTTCGATTACGATGCCGAAGAAGAAAGCCTCACCAGCCTCCATTGATAATGCTTGCCCTAGAAACTTCATATCCGGAGTAAAGTCTTCATTAGCAAGGTTGAAATTTAGCAAGGAATCGGCTGTGGCTATGGCGGTTGCGGGACTCATTCTGGCCTCGGGAGCTTACTACTTGATAGAAAACCCTAATCCGCATTGATTTCTGTAATTCCTGTTATTACTTTTTAAGGCTAAATTAATAAATTAATTCTTTTAACTTACTACTTTAATTAACCTAAACTTTTCAATCATATTATTAAACTTTTTTGAAAAAAAAGTTTGATTAATATTTTTTTAACTTCTCTATTTTTACGTTCTTAAAAAATGTTTACTTTTAAAAATAACATTTCTCCTTAATTATAAAAAAAAATATCTTTTAAATTTTAAAATATTAACAATAAAAACTTTTAAGATTTTTTTTTTTAGAGTATAATGGTATCAAAATTTCTTTTAAAAATTTATGTGTATTTTGTTAAACGAGATATGAACTTTATACAAGAATATATATATATATATATATATATATATATATATATATATATATATATATATTTAGTTTAAGAGTATTAATGTAAAATTTGAAAGTTGAAGGATTTTTTTAAAAACATCTTTTAATATTTAATGGCATTTTTTAAAAAGATATTAACGATTTGCATAAAAAAAAATTAATGGTAAAAAAATATTAAAATATGTTAAAATTGATGAATATTATTGTAACTTTCATAAGTATTTTTAAGAAAAATTGGAAAGTGTAAAATAGTTTTATTAATTTAATATTTTTTTAAAATAAGGAGAGTAATTCAAAATTTTAAAAACTTCAACAATATCCTCGGATTTTAAAAAAATAAAAATATATTCTTATCACTAACTTTAAGAGTATTTTTGAAATAAAGTATCCGACTGTAAATATATTTTTGAATTTTTTTTAAAAAGTTTAAAGATATTTTTGAAATAAAATGAAAATAGAAATTTAAAAATTATTTTTATTAATTTAGTCAAAATTTAATTAAGAGAAAAAAAAAATTAGGGAGGCATGTGAAAATATATAGCATAATTTGTATATAATAAAAAAATAAATGGAAGGAAATTAACATATCCAATCCAAATATTTAGTATAATATATAATGATTTTTATGATGTGTATTATGTGACTCAAATCATTTCTTTCTTGACATTCAGAGAAGCCATGGTGCCATAATTTTGTGCCATAATTTTGCCATATATGTGTAGCCACCTAACCAAACATACCCATGTGCACATAAAATAAGTTTCCTATATATACGTATATAATAATGCCACTAATCATATGATTCAATAACTCGACCCATTTTGACTATCCAATCCAAACCATAACAGTTAGGTTGAGTTTGATTTTTTTTGCTTCGGTTTGTAGATTCATTTTTTGGTCTGGGTCAATTCCACCAACCCAACTAGTCTGAGAATAGGGTTGGGTCGGTAAATATGTATGATGTTTTACATAATAAAGATAAAAAGAATAAACTGACAACCTAACCCAACTCGAAAATAGATGGAGGGTTGGGTTGGGTCGGGTTGAGTTGTGTCGAGCTGCTCGGGTCACGAATCCAACCAACCTGAAATTTTAGGTTGGTCAAAACGATGTTTCCAACCCTGTCTAATAGATTATTTGAGAGTGGGGTAAGATGGAAAGCTAAGTATGAAGAAAAGAATAAAGAAAGAAAAAAGAGAGAGAAAGCATCAAACCACCTATCTCTTTTACCTTTCTTTGTATTTTGGTTTCGAAAAAGTCGAGCGGTTTTGTCGAGGTGGAACCTTCCATGTTATCATTTAAGAGACGTTGTTTCGGTTGGAGGGATTAGAGGATGAGAATGAGCTTGGTTTTTTCGGGTGAAACCTTCCACTTTATCATTTAGGAGTCATTTGGTTTGAAGGATCAGAAGACGTGTAACAAACCATACTCAGGATTTGGAATCCGGATTCGGGACTTGATCGGCTCCACCATTTTCATGCATCTCCTACGACATGGTCACGTAACTTACTCATCATTTCTAAGAGTGAAGACTATCCTTACAGACCAAACTGAGTCTTTCTAACATGTTTTGTCTTTACTCACACGCATCCTAAGAAAATTTCTAGAAGGTCACATCAACATAAAATTGGTCTAAGCAAAACATGCTTAACCCTAAAGTTCTTATGATTGAACCATGAAAAGGAAGGTACACATTATTGGTACAGGTAGTAACTTTCATTTCTTTTAAATCTTTTTAAGGCATAATATCCTCAAGATCCATCTCAGTTTAGATGTGGTCTCGGTTCATTCATGTACCTCTCATTTACGCAAGTGTCACATGCTCACCCGCTTTTGCCTTGATTTGTCTCTGAACCACATCTCCCAAAACTTTGATCTAATTTATTTTTATTTTTATTTTTTTACTCAAATTATTTATGGAATATTCTAATTCTCCCTTCTAACCCTAATATTATACACCAATTAATGTAAAGTTTTGGATTTTATTTATTACACTTTTTCGTAATTTTTCTATCTAATTAATGTTTTTTTTTTGTCGTTGTTGTCATTAAAAAAATAAAAATAAGAAAACTTGTACTTGATTTGTAAAAAAAATATAAAATTATTTATTAAGAAAAAACTTGTTTTAGAATTGAAATTCAACCGTCCTTTTATGTACTCATTAAAGATATTTATTTAAACGGTAGAGTTCATCTCGAACAAGGTAGAAATTTTGCTTAAACGGAGAATGAGAGAGAAAGTGGAGAGGAGAGATATTTTTTCGTGAACAGAAATATTATTGTTGTAATATTAAAGTTTGAGTTTAATATTATATTTTTGCTTACGAAATATTATTTGAATTTATTAGATTATGTTAGTGTCAGAAGTGAGGAACTAAACATTTCTTGTAAGGGCGTGGAAACCTCTCTCTAGTAAACATGTTTTAAAATTGTGAAGCTGACGACGAGCTGAATAGACTACTAATCCCACAAAAATAAATGAGAAATTTTGCGATGATGAGAATTAAAATAAGAGACGGGGACGGGACGAGACGAGACAGATTTTTCTGTTCTCGTCCCATGGACATCTCTACTACTCACTTAAGCCAAATCTTTCCCGTCCCTATCTCGTAAACATCTTTACTACTCAGTTAAGTCAAATCAGACTCTCGAAACTTGGTGAAAAAGTAATTAGCTTCGATTGACGTACTAACCCTCTATCCATTTCGAAGTCAATAGAATATATATTAAAAATTCAAACAAGAAAAGTCATTTGGTTTGAATATTAGTAAAAATTACGTACCAATTGTAACAATGTGAAAAAGACTAGATAATTGATTATCCCAATTTTCCATGCAATTTGATTTTTTTTTTTTTTTTTGATAAATGACCCGATTAAAATAATCTAATTACAATCAACGTGTAATGTTTTATATTTACGATCCGTATCACTTAATGGCCCCGACATATCCTGCGACATGGTATCACTTAATGGCCCCGACATATCTTACAACATGGTCACGTTATCTACTCTTCGCTTCTTAAGAGTGAAAACTGATCACTCACAGGTCAACACGAGTCATTTTAGCATGTTTTATTTTCATTCATATACATCTTAGAAATTTTTCCAAGAAGTCACCCAACATAGAATTACTCCAAGCAAATTACGCTTAACCATAGAGTTTCTATCATTGAGCCATCGAAAAGTAAGGTGTGTGTAACGACCCAGATCCACCGCTAGCAACCTCTTTGGGCTTTCCCTTTCGGGCTTCCCCTCAAGGCTTTAAAACGTGTCTGCTAGGGAAAGGTTTCCACACCCTTATAAAGGGTGGTTTGTTCTCCTCCCCAACCAATGTGGGACATCACAATCCACCCCCCTTCGGGGCCCAGTGTCCTCGTTAGGACTCTTTCCTTCCTTCAATCGATGTAGGACCGCCCCTAAATCGACCCCCCTTGGGGGCCCATCGTCCTTACTGACACACCACCTCGTGTTTACCCCCCTTCGGAGAACAGCGAGAAGGCTGGCACATTGTCCGATGTCTAGCTCTGATACCATTTGTAACGACCCAGATCCACCGCTAGCAGATATTATCCTCTTTAGGCTTACCCTTTTGGGTTTTCCCTCAAAGCTTTAAAACGCGTCTGCTAGGGTGATTTGTTCTCCCCAACCAATGTGGGACATCACAGTGCGCCTCGTTGGTATAAGTAATAACTTTCAATTCTTTTAAGTGTTTCTTAGTCATCATATCCTCAAGATCTCTCTCATTCATATACCCATTTTTTCTCGGGTGCCAAACTCTAATCACTCTCATCCAAACTCTAATCGCACTACAAAGTGACAATGAAGTCAAACGACAAGACAACCAAAATTACCTATTTAACCCTCATCTCATCTCGACTTTATTTGAAAGTCTAAACCGTATGAACTCGAACTTTAAAATTATCCCGCAATTATTTTTTAAATAATTTTAGAAACTTCATGAACTTTTACGTTACTTTATACAATTAACATATTGTTTTATGTTGATTTCTAATGACGTGACGCCGAAATATAATTATTTTTTCGTCCACGTATTACAATCTTATCAACAAATACATTTCTTTTTTAGAAAAATATCTTAATAATCTCACTCACAAAGCAAATAGTATTTTAAAAAGGGGGAAATATCTAAATAATTCCATCCACAAACAATTTTCAAACCTTAAAAAAAAATAATTTTAATTTTTTTTAATTAAAAAATTGTTTGAAAGGGAAGCTATATTTGAACAGTAATATTAATTGGATTGAATGGTTGACCGGTTTGGTTCGGTTTGGTTTTTTTGGGTTTAGTGAACCAAAAATGTATAAGGTAAGCCGGACTTGCTCAATTAAATATATATTATCTGGAAGACTAAGATTGGGAGTCACATTATGTACCAAAAAATAAATAATATAAAATAATTGGGTCATAATTAAAATTAATAATATGTCAATGTTACCGGACGGCCAATTGCGGTAAACGGCGTTAGCGGCTACGTCTTCTATGTTCAGTTATTTATTTATTTATTTTTCAATTGTAAATTTCTGAAGTAATTCTATAACATTTTCGATTTATTTATTTATTTTAGTATATGTTTTTAAATTGATTGCACTATACTCATGTTGAACACACTCGGTGTGGAAATACTCGCACACTCTGTATTAAAATCAATAGAAAAAAGATTACAACACACTCTGTAGTACTACACTTTACTTCAAATTGTTCGAGATTGAAAACTTTAGTAGGGTCGTGGGTATTTATAGACAATTTTTTTAAAAATATTTAATAATTGAAAACTCCACCATTTTTTACTCTACTAAAGTTATAAATGTCGATTGGTTCATGATGTCAATTTTGCCGCCATATTATCACGTCGGGTATCTTGTTTTGACTGAAACTTCTTCGTTTTAGCTCTAATTTGAGTAAACAAAAGAAGTTGAAATCGTTATTTCCAACCTTATACGGTGGACAAAATATTGAAAATTGTTACTAATGGAACTAAGTTTGTTATCATAGAAACATCAATTAATTAATTCAAATTAATTAATTTGAGATTGCAAAAAAAAAAAAAAGAAGAAAAAAAAAAGCCAACAACTGTCGTGTGAAAACCTCTCTCTAGTAGACGCGTTTTAAAATGTGAGGCTAATGACGACATGTAACGGGCCAAAGTAGACAATATCTGCTAGCGGTGAGCTTGGGCTATTACAAATGGGTATCAGAGTCAGTCACCAAACGGTGTGAGACACTGGTTGGAGTAGGACTAGACCCTCTCCATAGTAGACGTGTTTTAAATCTGTGAGATTGATGGCGATACGTAACGGGCCAAGAGAACAATGCTCATATAAATATTATTGAGAATGAACGTTTCATTCATGTAAGGTAAGCATTGAAATCGACTTAGATTTTATTAGAATTAAACAAAAGGGTTAAGAAAATTATGACAGAACTTTAATATTCTTATTCCAATAATCGAACCTTCTTTTCTTCCACGAAGTCTTTTCTAGCTATAACTTCAATACAATATCAACACTCGTGAGACTCTCATACATAGACATTCAATTACTATTCCCACAAATCAACACGAGTTATTTTATGATGTTTTGTCTTCACTCACATAACTCACACACAGAATAGTAGAGCACTCATTTTGGGGTGGGCTTACTACTTATATACTTTCAACAGTTATCCGCTCCACACTTGGCTACTCAGCGTTTACCGTGGGCACGATAACTAGTACACGAAAGGTGCATCCTTCCTGATCTTCTCATACTAAGGAAAGTGATATGATAAGGAATCACTACAAGGGAAGTAAGATTCAGATGACCCTGTTGATCAAATATCTCTACGCAAAAACATTGGTTTGATATTCAAATCACTACACAAACAAGATTGATCATGTCAAGCTTGAATGATTCTACATGCAACCTAAACTACTAAAATTGTAATGAAATTTAGTCATTGGTTAAAGGAAGCACAAATGCTCATTCTACTATATTTTTCAAGTCTAAACTTTATATAGCCTCAAAATGAAACTAGACATTCCACAACAAGGAAGGATAGCATTCATATTTTATGACCATAATTGACGATGAGGTAAATGTAACAAAATCTTAAAATACATTAATGAAATACAATAGCTTTAAATTGCTGGGACTTGAATTGAAATATATTGTATGATTGATGTTTCTTGTTTCATATGGAAAGATCCTCTCAAATATTCTAACACCCACATTAGATATGGATGGAACTGTGTCACCATGTTGTGAACGGAGTTCCAGGCCAAAGAGATTTAAGGGTTAAATTAGGTAGGGCCGGTCTAGAAGTCGATATCGGCAAAGCATGAACAGTATGAGCTGGGATTCTGACGGTGCCCAATGCATCATGAAATGGCAGAAGTTGGCAGAAGACCGAGCAGTCCGCTAAATAAAAAGGCCCCGCTCGCAGCCACTCTCTTACCATTTCATGGCCGGCACAGTTCCATGGAGTTTCTCTTACATTTACGAACCTCACTCAAAATTTTCCTTCTCTTCTTTATTTTATTTCATCTCTCTCTTCTGTAAAGCTCTCTACCACCTCTCTTTTCCATACCTAAAGTTCGCTTTTCATTTTCCCCTTTAGATCTGTTTCGATCCCACACCCATTTTCCCCTTCAAATCTTCTTCCCCACAGCTCCTCTGTTTTTCCTCTGTTTTTCAAGGAATCTACACTGCTCCTCCTCCTCGATTCTTTCATCCTTCTTCCATTATTTTCTTATATCATCTTAGATCCATCTGATTCTAATTATGGGTCTTCTTTTATCTTACAAATGGCGGTTTTGAAGCTCTGTTTTTGCTTAATCTTTTGAATTTTTAAAAACAGAGCCTGCATTCTCTGTTTCGTTTTCTCTACAGAATTCAACCCTCTCTGTTTTTACTTGAATCGTTCGAGTTCATGGCTGATCCGTTGTCAAAAGCTGAGTTTAATGGTTTCACATTAGAAACAGCAATTTCGATTACGAAATCGGTATTGCTTTCAATTGGGTTAATATCCACTGTAAGTTTGTTCAAAGTGGCTGTAATCCCAAAAGTTGCGAGCCTTTTGACCACTACTCTTCCTCGCTTATGGGTCTCCTTCGGATTATGGCTTTCTCCTCCCTATGTGTTCCTTGTATTCAATTTCATTATCGTCGCCGTCGCTGCCTCCTCCGTCTTCCGCCGCCCAATAGACACATCCGAGAATAGCTACATACCCATTTCTTATGAACATACTCATGTTGCTGCTTCCTCTCCCTATATGTCGATGCATGAGGATCAAAGCTTTTGGATCATTGCTCGTTCTAGAGAAATCTGGAATGGGATCCCGAACGAGGACGAACAGGGGAAGGAGCAATGGGATTTTCCGACTCTGTTCACGGATAAATTCAGCAACCCATTATCTGAAAAGCTCTGTGCATATTCTTGCGAGAAGGATGAAGATGCCGGCGGCGGCGGCGGAGGCGGTGATGGTGACTCGATGGACGCTACGTGGAAGGCGATCATGGAAAGTCAAGGGAAACAGACGTCGCAGCTGAAGAAGAACCAGACATGGGACTCACCGCCGCCGCCGCGACGTTTGATTAGAGCCGCCGACGCTGGTGCCAACACGGTGGAGCTGGCTCGGAATGAGGTGAAGAAATCGGAGAGGTTCCTCCCAGCGGCGTCGCTTCGGAGGAAGATATCGATGACTTCGGAAGAGCTGAGATGCCGGGCTGAGGCGTTCATAGAAATGGTTAACCGAAGCATTCGCCTGCAGCGGCAAGAATCAGAGCAGCGTTTCTTGCAGGCGTTGAAACGCAATTTCTAGCATTATCCGATGATCTCGACAATATTTACCGTATAACTATGCTATCTATTTTGACTCGTAACTCTTAGAAGCATTGGTGGCATGTATCGAATATAGATTATGAATCTTGGTTGGGATCTTAGACATGTAGCGTTACAATTCATGTATCGAATATAGATTGGTGTGTTGTTACGTTTTGTCTGTACATTTTCGTTCTATGATAAAACTGAACCTTTGTGTTGTTCGCATTTAATCAAAAGTCTATGAACTTTATAAATTGGTTAGGTTTGTAAAGAATATAAAATGGTAGGCAGCATGATTGCATGGCTTGTTCGGTGCAACTATTGACCACCACAGCACTGCCACAATGGCTTTGAATTTGACTAATTAAATCCTAAGGTTAGGCTGATTGAGAAATTTAATCATTATATCTTCGACGTCGTGGTTTCGATTTAGTTCATTGGGCCAATTTTCATCCACCTCGATCACGCTGGAGCAAATGCAAGGTGAGGTAATGGTGATCGACCGTCTCTCACCCACGTTGTGACATACATACGTACTACATGGTAGCTCGCTTAAACTACATGGCCTAGGAGTAGTGTAGAGTTGACACCATGCCTCCCCTATTGTACGTTTTGAGACATTTTCAATACTCCTCTGGTAGACGTCATTTTGGCGAATGGTCATATGGTGTCGTGGAGTGTTCACCAATGTCCGATTGACACCAAATTTGGTAGGCTTTTATATTTCATATGGACGAACTTGACTCCAGAACTGCATCCCCAAATTTCCTTCAGAATCCCAACTTTCGAGGTTAAGATCTAAACCTTACTCGACCCTTCATCAAGTCTATCTGTAATATTTTTGTCTACTTGTGTTTTCTATCTTTCTTATGTCCCGTTTTCTCTTCAATGCACACGTTATATGGTGTGCTGGATGATGCGCTGTCTTCCTCAGTTGCATCATGACATTCTTCTATATTGACTCTCGCATGGCGAGTAGGCGTCTTTTGAGGGTTGCCGCTTTGCTTGCCTTGATGTAAGAGTCACAACCTACTCTCTTCATAGTATGGTTGTGACAACCAACCCCTGCAGTGATGCAAAGAGTGACTCATCAGAACCAACAAAGTCACTAGTATATCATATAAGGCTAGCTGAACTCTAAGTCCAAGTCCTCTAGCGCTTGAGCCACGCCAACAATTCAAATATCGGTGGTGCCAACCAAGAGGCCGCCTTAAGTCACGCCCATCATCTCTATCTCCTCCATCCTCATCCCATATGTCACGAGTATGCCAATTTTACACTTCAACCCATATGTCAGAGGCTGGATTATGCACCAACTATCTAGTACGGTATTCGTAAATGACATGACATGGGCACGTAAGGGCCAATGCCTTGCATCCAGCTTACTTAATTGATTAAGAAACATATCATCGATCAAGAGGTTTAAAAGTATCAAATTACAGTAACCGATAGGTTAGAGGTTCTAATCCTCTCACCTCTACTTATTGCAACATTGCATTAATTATCAAGCTGCCATGATTATCTAATAATAATTATGATTGAAGGGTAAAATTGTCATATTTTTCTAATTTTAAAATTATACTCGTATAGACATGAATATTAAAATAATGTAGTGATGACGTAGCTCGAATTCTAGGTAAAATATACGACTTCTTTTTCCGAAAAATAATAGAGTTAAATATAAGTGAAACGTCCTCGTTCATCCATGGGCGATTGATTCATAGGGATAAATGCATATGTCCCACCATTTATTTTTTAGCTTTTCTTTTTGAAAGTTATGATACTAATCTTTACATTATCTTTTCAAAAAATTAAAATAAAATAAAAATAAAAAGTGGCACTTTTAGGAATAAATAAAAATCATATACTAAATAATTGTATCAATAATTTATATTTTTTTAGGTGCAAATTTAAAATTATATCTGAATTAATTTAGCTCATAAATTTTAATTAAGCGAACTTTTTAAAAAAATTAATGTATTAATAATTAATGATTTAAAAAATTAATGCATTAAATATTTAATTAATAAATTTAAAAGTTTTTGCATCTAGATTGAGTCGGATAAATCTTTTTAGATGATTCAAAATTATGAATTAATATAAAATAATAAATAAATAAATAAATAGAGAGTTATTTATTTGGAAAGTTAGAAAGTTTTAATTTATTATTTATTTATTTATTTATTTATTTAGAGTTGAATGGATACTTCTTTTAGGCATGGGGAAAGAGACGTAACAACAAAAAGGAAAAGAATTAGAATTTTGGAGGAAAATGATAAGAAAAGATTAAAAAAAAAATACAAAATTGAGAGAGAAGATTCAGAGAGAGACAGAGAGGTTGCTCGATTTCCAGTTCCGATCTCAACATTGAAGGCAGCGAGCGAGCTGCAATTGTATGTGAATGGAGGGGCTGGCGTCTTCTACCGAGGAGCTGAAGAAGAATGTGGAGCATCATGAGAAGAAGATGGTGATGAAGAAGAAGAAGAAGAAGAAGGAGAGATTGGGGTGGATTGAATGGTTGAGAGGTTGGATGTATGTCATTCACGAGATGCTATTTCAGAGAATCGTTGCCAGCCATCTCCAGAATCCTATGCCTCTCCCTCCCATTAACGACCTTACTTGCATTGTCACCGGATCGACCAGCGGTATTGGCCGCGAGATTGCCAGGTTCGTTCATTTTTCTCGTTTCCTCTGTCTGCTTTACGAGGACGCCGGGAACTACTTACTTCCTTTCTGTTCTCGATTTCTTGTTTTGTGTAGCTCGTTGTGATTGGAATCCATTATTTCGGCTTAATTCTTTTCCGTCTCCTTCGGAATGTGGTTTCGAGCTCTTGTTCAGGTTTTAGATTTATTTGTTGCTCCAGTAATTATTTTGGTTCTTTTTGCTTTGGTTTTCAATGGAGCAGGCAACTGGCTGAATCAGGGGCACATGTTGTCATGGCAGTGAGGAATCCAAAGGCTGCTCTCGACTTGATTCAGAAGTGGCAAAATGAATGGTCTGGCAAGGGGCTTCCTCTCAATATTGAGGTATCTAAAATCCACAGTAGCTCTGCATCAAAAGAACTTTGAACTTCAATTCAGGTTCTACATCATTCTTTTTATGTTAGAAATAGTAGTTAATGCATTGTTAATAGGTGATATACATTGTGATTTTTCTAGGTAATGGAACTTGATCTTCTATCTCTAGATTCTGTCGTGAGATTTGCTGAAGCTTATAATGCTCGTATGGGACCTTTACATGTTCTTATCAACAATGCTGGAATATTTTCCATAGGAGGTTAGTAATCTTTTACTCACCTGTTGATTTATTTTTCCATTTCCTTATTGCCCGGCTTGAATCAACTAAGTTATTCATAAATGTCAGTTACTTTCTTACTGGACATTTCTTCAGTTCATGAGCTGCTAAAAGGAACTATTGTTGTCATTGAAATAGTTTGTGTTTTTTTCCATTGTAAATGCTTGTAATACTCTATTTTTAGTACATAATGCATTTTGTGGAAACTTTTTGTGATAGCTTACTTGATATGTAACACTCACCTTGCTCGTCGATTACTGCTCCTATGCTGGCGATTACTGTTCTTTTCTGTTCTAAACATTTATGCTGACTATTCCTAGGAGTGTAAATGCTTCTGAAGATCCTATGCTTGCTATTCAGAAAAGAAAGAATCTGACTATTCATTACTTTACTTTCATCGTACTGTAGTTGTGAAGCGATTACATTCCTTTGATTATAATACTATTTTTTTTTGGTAAAGAAATATGTGCCAATGTCTTGGTTTAATTTGAGTTTGTTGTCTCTAGAGCCACAAAAATTTTCTAAAGATGGTTATGAAGAGCACCTGCAAGTGAATCATTTGGCACCTGCATTGCTTTCAATATTACTCTTGCCATCCCTTATCAGAGGTTCCCCAAGCCGAATAATTAATGTGAACTCCGTTGTAAGTTTTGTGGGCACTATACAAAAGCATAGAACATGTGTTTCTGCATCGTATAATGTATTGGTACATGTTCATACATAGAAAATGGTTATCTGTATACTTTGTGTTTAGCTAATAAAGTTTATGTAATGATTTAATCTTAACTATGCATTAGTGCTCTTTTTCATTCTAAGAATAAGAAGTATATTCAGTAATGAAAATTTATATTAGCCTTTCAATATCACAATCAAGTGCATATATTGTCTGTGTGATGACAAAGAACATTTTTTTCGAAAGACAAAATAAAGATAAGCCCTGGGAAAAAATTGGAATGAAATGATTTGACTTCCATTATACACATCAGTTGCATGGTGGGTCTAGGATCGGATTTTCAATAACGACCATTTTCAATCCCTACAGCCCTGGGTTCAACTGTAAGGTGGAGTCAAATTTTTCTTGGCTATTTGCTACTAGAGATCATGTTGGCAAAGTAGATATTTCGTGTTTGCCCATTTTGATGTTTGTTTCTGTCATGTAATCACAGTTACATGCTTAATATGTAGATGCATTATGTTGGTTTTGTTGACACGGAAGACATGAATGTCGTTTCACCGAAAAGGAAATTCACAAGCTTAGTCGGATACTCTAGCAGTAAGTTGGCACAGGTATAGTTACTGCTCAACTACTAAATTCCTTCCCACTACTCATGTCCTTTTATAATTGTATTTCTTTTTTTTTTTCTTAATTTATTATTATTGTGCATTCAATTATGATATTCCATGTTCCTTCTCTCTTAGTCAATTTAATCAGTAATTTACATTTGAAACAATGGTCATATTCTGTTTAGTTATTGTTTTCCTCTTTTTAAAATGGCATTCCATGGAGAATCACTTCTCTATGGGAGTATGAATTCGTTAAGACCTTCAACAAATCAAGTTTGCTTCTATAACCTTGAAACTTTCTCTTCTATAAATTGGATGTGGCATGTTCCAGGTATCAATATGATTTTTGTTTCACTGTTTGCTACATTGTTTGACATCTTCCTGTATGTCCTTGATTCTTGCTCGTTTTGCATTATTTTAAGCAAGGATTCTCAAGCCAGCCTATTATATTAAATGAGCATTACTAATATCCTCTTTCATTCCCCCCCCATATTTGATTAGGCAGTTTGTCGATTATTAGACTATGTATTTACTGTGCATTGATAACTCACCTTTCAGTTTTCCTGTTTGATCTCTAACTTCTGGCTTATAAAAACTGTTTTTATACTGCTCTTGGGTGCCAACATTACATAGCTTGGTCTAATGGTTTCTGGATTACAGGTTATGTTTAGCAGTGTTCTTCATAAGAAGCTGCCTGCTGAATCTGGCATCAATGTGGTGTGCGTTTCACCTGGGATTGTTCACACAAATGTGGTAAGTTTTTACTTGAGGAAGTACCAGCCTTTTGGTAGCAGAAACAGGACTCTAGAATATATATATATTCAATTTTATTTGTATCATCTTGTACATTCCTTGATATGATGTGAGATTGAAGTATTCACGTATATTTCATTATCCCATTATTATCGTCAGAAGTGATAATGATGCTTAACTATTTGATGACTGAAATTATGCTTGTTACTAATGTATTTGGATGATATCTCAATAAGTGGATTGAATTTCCACTAAAATTCTCAGCAGCTTCTAAAAATTTTCAGAAATTTTTCACTGAAATCTGCTCCATCCGTGTATGGCAATTCATTTTGACTGTTAATTTCTGCACATTCTGCTTGCTTTTCATTCCAAATCACAGAATAATTTACATGATTATAGCAGAGCCTTATGTTGAAAATGACTGCTTCAAAACCCACATCCATGTTACCAAAATTATAGGCGTCTGGAATATTATATTTGCAGGATCTTATACCTTTTTGTAATATGATCAACAATATGTTTGTGCTGAGTGGTTTCACTCAGTCAGGTGGTAGTAGAATTATATCCTTTGAATGCAGTCTGATATGAACCATCACTATTTGTATTGCGTTTAATTTTGCTTATCAATGCAGGCAAGGGATCTTTCAAAAGTTGTTCAAGCTGGTTATCGCCTAATTCCTTATTTTATCTTCAGTCCTCAAGAAGGTAAGCCATTTCAAGTGATTACATTGTTTCTTGTCTCAACTAAATGAGATAATGTCAATCTTTATTCTAAAATGACGAAGTAGTTACATTTGCTAATGATTCCTTATTGCGAATGTCTCAAGTTTTTGTGGTTGAGATGCGTTCCATAAGAAAGAATCGTGTGAGAAACTTCGCGAAAATTATCAGAACACTAGAAGTCAAACTAATTCTAGAATTTCTACGAGTTGTCACTCTTTGTAGGAGTATTTGAGGAATCTTCCTGTTTAAATTAAAAAAAGAAAAATGGAAAACCAGAATCTTGTTTGATGACGACCAACCATGTTGCTTGGTTGTAAAACCTTCAGAAAGAAAGCCGAACTTGTATTTCTAATCTTGTCAAGGCCAAGCCTGCTCTTTTCCAAAGGTAGAACCTCCTTATTCCCATTAACAAGATGTTAGCTCTCGAAAAGTTCTTCGTTTTTATTCAAGGAAATGGAGAACGCTAGGTGAATAGAGATGCTGTTAGCAATCACGAACCTCCACAATGGTATGATATTGTCTACTTTGAGTATAAGCTCTTATGGTTTTGTTTTTTGTTTCCCCAAAAGGCCTCATACCATGGAGATGTATTCCTTACTTTAAACCCACGATCAACCCATTAATTAGTCGATGTGGGACTCTTCTCCCAACAATCCTCAACATATTCCCCCTCCTTGACAGAAAGAACTTGTTTCATCTGATTTTTCTGTTTAATCTTGATGAAAAAATGTTAGATTACGCTATTATTTTGTAGCATTCAAAGATGTACTTTTACCTTAACATACATGACTTTGAATTCAAATACACTCCATCATTCGCCAATTGCAGGTTCTAGAAGTACTCTCTTTGCTGCCACTGATCCTCAAGTTCCAGAGTACTGTGAACTCCTTAAAGCAGATAAATGGCCTGTTTGTGCATTTCTTGCCCAAGAATGCCGTCCAACAAATCCTTCAGAAGAGGCCCACAACGTCGAGACTGCTTACCGACTGTGGGAGAAGACGTTGGAGATGACGGGCTTGCACTCGGACGTCGTCGAGAAGCTATTAGAAGGAGATCAAATTACTTGTCGCTATGGAGCTGATTCGACAGAGGCTAACTAATGGTAAATTTCCATTCTTAGTATTTGATAGACACAAATGAATCTCACGAACGAGTCATCATACTTAACAAGAAACGAAAACGAAAACGAAGATTTTGTTGTATTATTCAGTTGTTGAATTGCCATTAACCTCTTTGGCTGGCTCGTCAAATGGATTTGTATATTGCTGCGCATTTGTGCATTCCATCACAGTACTTCGCCAGCACCTCATAATAATTACAATGCCATTTATCTTATGTATAATACAATGCCATTTCAAGCTTATGAATTTGAATATGAGAACTTTGAAAGCTTTGGAAAATACAATAATATTCGATACGACTTTGGGCATGTATAACGTTACGCTCCAATTGGCTTTATAAAACAAAAAGGAAATTATTTAAATTTATTATCGTAAAACTAAAAACATCTAACTTTATAATAAAATAAATAAATAAATGTCTTCGAAAGCTAAATTAAAAAAAAAATACTTATGATTTTATTCCTAATCTATCATAAACAATTTAAAATTGTCTCGTCTAAAATTTTTACTAGCAATATTTAATATTTATAAAATGTCGAAAATAATATTCTAACTATATATAATTTTAATAATTTAGCCAAAATTTTCCAAATATAGAGATAAATTATGGTAAATTAATAGAATAATGACAAATTTTTTAAAATTTCTAAACAAGAATAATTATAAAATAATAAATTTTAAACCTTAAATAAAAAATAAAAAAAAAAAGAAAGATATTTGAGTTATTTAAAAATCAAATTCAAAAAAATGATTTAAAATCCATCCGTTATGGGAAAATGTCGATAAAGTAGAAGAAAGCATTGGGAAAAAGATTTCTGCTTTTATTATGTGAACTTTGAAGTGTTTTTCAAACGGAAATAACCTCATCCCTTCAATCTCTCTCTCCTTCTCTTTAGCCGTTTGAATCAAAACCCTCACCCTCCAAATCTCGCCGGAATCGCCATCTCTCCGCTTATCTTCGCCTGATACACAAGCGGCGTCGGTTCAGGTAAGTTTCCACGGTATCTTCTCTACTGATCTACTTCATTTTCTTGTGAATCGTCTGCTACTCTTTGCATTTGTTTCCCGGTTACGTTACTCTCTTAATCTGTTTGTTTCTCGCTGATTTCAATCCTGTTTGGTTGCGTTTCTATGAAGAAGAATATCAACATTGTCTTCAGCTGTAGACGGTTTTCGTTTTGTGATTTTTTTTTTCTTTGATTCCTGATAATGTAATTTGGAATTTATGCACGTTCTGTTTAGCTGTAGTCCACTAGCGTTGTGTGCTCTGCAATTACCACCGGAAAACGAGGATGCCGGTTCTTAAAATCGGAACCTCCTCTCTCTCTCTCTCTCTCTCTCTATCTGTTTTCATTACTTTCAAATTATTGCTCTACCAAACAACCGAACGAAGCTACTCTTATCATTTGATTCAGCACTTGAATTGAATCGCAGCAGGTACCAAATCGTCGGAATGTAATTTAAACGTTTTGCCCCTAGGTCTAATTTAGCATCAAAGGATTTTCAGATTTGTTTGTAGTGATCCTGTGCCTATGAAAAAGATCGAAGTCAAGAAAATGTGGAAGCATTATAAAAATAACCTGGGGATTTGAGTAATACGGTTTTGCAGCTTCCGGAACCATGAATGTTGAGACAGACTTGTTGATTTGATTTGCATTTGTTTATCTCTACGCTGAAATTTTTTCGAGATCTGCGCCAATTTTTTAAAGAGAACATGATGAATTACTTTTCAACTTCCTGTTGCTCTTGCCCATACTACACTGTTTATTCCTTTTCTATTCTAAACACAGGTTAGGTTTTTGTACGGCCTGCTGCATTTATGGCGTTGGATTTTATTGGGTTTTGTGCTTTGCCAACTTGCCTGCCCCAATTACCTTATGGGCCATCCCTTTATAATTGGAACTTACATCATTACTACTGACATTCAATAAAATCACGACATAAATATTCATCTTTGTTCAACAATTTATCTCAAAATAAACCCCCATGAAGGAGTTGAAAGATAGTTTTAAATTAGTTTTAAATTGTAGTTTTGAAGTGTTCATTAAAGATGTATGTGTGTACCCTGTAATGCTTAAATCATGCGTTGCTCATCCTTGTCCTGTATTTTTTTAGATTAATATTGGCTGATGGATATGCAAAAAAATATATTGCTTTTCTGTCGGTCGTTCTAAAGTAGTGGTTTTGCACTTACTTCTGTCGGCTGATTAACCGGGAATAATACAAACCGTGTTGTCAGCTACGCGAGTGTCACTGTGGTTGGATGCACTTTGAGCGAGATGGAAATGGTGGCCCCGGAGGAAGAAGATGTTTGGACCAAGCGTACACCTTCATCTCCATCTTGTGAGAGTTTGAGCAGCAACAGAAACAGCATAACACTCGGCCCCAAATCTCCTTCATTGTTATCGTCCTCCCTCGCAGGTATCAGTGACTGTTAAACTTGAAAAATGTCTCTTTTCACTATTTTTTTTCAAACCCCATGTATCTATCTTAGGTTTTAGCTCTTTGAGATTCTATACTGAAGACCAGGGAAGTGGGGGTGGTGGTGGATAAAGCCCTAGTCTAGGGAAAAGACTTGCCTACTCACTGTTACCTACTGACTTATTTTGTAGCCATGTACAAACTTTATTACAGTAGGAGGGGTAGGTGGTTGGAGTAATTAAAGTGTGGGAGTCTTGAATTTTCGTCCCCATAATGTTTTATTCTCACTTTGTTTTTGAAATTTGAAACTGTGAAAAGCGAAGCCTCCATGTCTATAGTCCAAATCAAACCACCTTTATTGTGGGAGAGAATATATTGACCTTTGTGTTCCTTCATCCCTGAGCCATGAGCAGTCCTCAACAAATTTCCTATAAACAGCATCTTATCATTTGCCTGATTGATGCAAACCCGTGAGGACTTTGAAGTATGTGATCCTACAGCCTGTTTTGAATGAATTCAATTTTATAATATTTTGAATTGAAAGATTCAAAATAATTTGATGGAATTGAATTTTGGGGATATATGATAGAGATTGTTGTTGGATGGGTCATTCTCCTTTATAACAATGTAATGCCAAAAGAACCGTCTAGGGCGGGGAACCATGGCCTTTCTGCCCCACAATTTGACAGGAATTCAAAATTTCAAGTGAGTATTCAATTGGTATCCTGATTATTACTTGCTCCTATGTCCTTTTCTGTTCCCTTAAGCCTTATTGACCCACCATTTTTAAGCTTTTAAATGAAATGATTTGGAAATTCGGAACAAAATTAAGCCCAGTTGCCCTGTAATACCTTTTAATATAATTATGCCAAAATCATTTGTTCATTTTTTAAAGATGAATGTCACATCAATAGTTTATAGATTTCCGTTGCATATTTCAAGATTTGAATTGATTTATAATATTTTCATTCCTTATTCTATATGGCTCGCCTTGGATTTTTCTTTTATTCTCAATTCTATATAGGTGATAATTGATGCAGGTCCTTGATCAGATCTCTTTTGTTTTGGTGAAAAATTATAATTATGTAAACTATCATTAAAAAAAATGATAAAATAGGCACAATTTTCAAATACCAAAATTAAAAATCAAATAACAAATGATTATCAAATGAGTTTTAACTTTGGGTCCAACAATCGTGGTTAGAAGATCCAATTACATGATATAGCTTGTAAGTTGTCTTGCTCGTGTTGTGCTATGGCAGATATGGAGCAGAAGATGAATTTACTTGCTATGAAAAATGCTGGAGAGCACGACGCAGGAGACAGTTTTGCCGAACGTGCAGAATTTTACTACAACAAACGTCCTCAACTGCTGGCGCTTCTCCAAGAACTGTACACTGCTTACACCACCTTATCCGATCGCTACATTCAAACCATTGCCAAACGTCACAACCATCATCACAACAGGCACTCTTCTGTTACTTCAACCCTCGACTCCTTCGATGGAGTCGAAGATTCAGGGATCAGTCAAATCGAGTCCGATGCAGAGAGCTCTCTCTCCTACCAGCAAGTATCAGTTATAATACCAGCTAAAAACTATCCTATGGTATACAATGATGCCTTTGTTGCGGAGATTGTCATCAAGAATGTGGAGTATGACATTCTTATAAATGAGGTAAGCATCCTGGAAAAGCAATGTGGTGATTCATCGACGAAGATCGAGCTTCAGAAGAGTTTGCTTGAGGTTTTGGAGTCTGAAAGGCTTATATTACTGAATGAAAATGCAAGATTGGGATATAGGGTGTCTTCCTTGATGGAAGAAAACAAAGGGCTGGTAGCGGAGTCTGTGTTCATGAAACAGAAGGCGAGTGAGATGGCACGATGTATGCTGAAGCTGCGGGATGATCATAGAGCTTACCTACTCAACCAGAAAATAGAAGATCTACAGGGACAGATTCATGGGCTGGAGAAAAAGAATAGAGAGTACTATGAGAAGCTTGTGAAGATAGATAAAACAATGGTAGAGAGTATGAGTAAGAACAAAGAACACAATGGGAATGAGGTAACCTTGGAGGCGTGCTTTCAGATTAGAAAACTCAAGTCGAAGAGGCATCATTCGGGTGTCATCAACAACAGCGGCAGTGACAGAAAAAGTAACAGCGGGAGGAAGACCTACAGGTGGTGGGCAAAGGTGAAGAGCATGGACATGTTTTTATGTGGTCATAGCACCAATCCTGTGTAATAATTCCTTTTGCCTCTCTACTATACTTGGGTTGGGAAAGCCATCCCTAACTAGATATTCAGTAGCAGCTGCAGTAGTAAGATTGCCAATCCCCAATCCCTTATAAATAACTTCGTGGAAGTTTTTTGTTGGTACTGTGGCATTGGACACTAAATGTTAGTACTAGAAAGCAGTATGAAATAGTTTTAAGTTCCATCACCTTATGACACCAACTTTTATCTGCTTTTTGCTGTGGTCTAATTTGAGGAAGACAGTAAGATAATGAACAGGGAATCCCTAAACATGAAAAGCAGCAAGTTAACGAACAACAGTATATGCTTTTGGTTTACAGTACTATCTAGGAAAATGTTCAATCCCAGTGGCAAATAATGCAAGGGGAGATTTCAATGGCATTAGTCTGATGAAAGAACAAATATTATCAAGGCAAGTAATGGAAGGTGTACAAAATTGTTTGATGTTCTAATTAGATCTTCGAGATGTTCTTTAAATTTTACAAGCCTATTAAACAAACAAAAAAAAAAGGTTTTATTAGGCACAGATCTCTGATAATCTAAAGAATGGTTGAATTTGTCCACGAAGATCGTCGTGGCAGGGTCATGGGTAGGAAGTTAGCACAAGAACACTGCATTATCCGTTGGGAAAAAATTACTGAATTATGTTTAGTTGTTCTTTTTCTTCACGAAGTTCCGATTTCTTTTAGACATTTACAATTTTATGTATTTAACTGCTTATTTTTCTTGGGATCAAAATCATTCCCATGTAGAGTTATACGAATTCCCATTCAGATTTCAATGGAACTTCAAAATTGAATTAAATTTCTAGGCATTTAACCAAAGTAGGGTTTGAAAGACAATATGAGTCAGGAATTTGAAACCTGGAAACAACCTGAATGCACGACTGAATCTCGAACTGTGTCATCATTATTTTTGTTCTCAGAATTTGTTGTGTATGCACGGCACCGAGTCTCTCCTGAAATTTAGCAACTCACACCTATAGAAGAAATGATGTGCAAATATGAGAATAACATTAAACAGGCACTCTAGCAGCCCTTAACAAAATCTGACTTCAATCACAATTTGTAAAATGACGAACTCGAAAAGGGAATAACTGAAAAAGATCAGTGAGAAATTCTGATGGCAAACACTTCAGAAACTGTTCTCCGTTCGAGGTCAGTTTCAAAAAAGTCATAAAAATTTTTTTAAAAAAAACCCTGAAAATTGACCAGTTGAAGTGGTTATCTCTTTTGTTCCAGTAATGAAAACCCATATGCTTCTCATATAAAGATAAGTGAATCAATACCTTGAATGGTTCTGAAGGCGAATTGAAGGATCAAATTTTAAAGCTGTTGAATATAGCGTCGCAGCTGAATCAAAATGGTCCTTAGTTAAGAATGCGTACCTTTGCAAATGTAAGCCTGCAAAATGAAAATTAGAAAACAAATCTTGGGAACTATACGATTACATAGTTCAGACCCCATTTCTCACATCTTCTCGATTAAAAGGACAAAAAAAATAGTGATGATCAACAAAGTTGCATGTTAGCTGAATGAGGGTTCGAAAAGACCTCTAAATTACAGTTTAGAATCATCAGTCTTCAGAATTTGAACTTTTTTTCCTTACATCCAGGAGGTCCGTGGCATAAAGGTTCGTGCATCACAAAGAAGAGTTGATCCCTGAATTTACAATTATAATTGAAGGTCATGTCCAAAGTTTTCCTGTTATCCTCTGAATTTTCTCTTGCTCTTGACATCTAGAGCTTGGCACTACACAGATCTTCTTAAAATCATTTGAAATGGAAGAAATTGGAATTCTGTATACCGTAAATCTTGTCCATAAACTGATGTATCACAACCTTAGCTCTACATTTTTCTCCTTCGATAATAACTAAATTCACAATCCAGACTCATTTTAGTGTGGCAATCTAGTTATTTTCTCAAAACTAACGTCTATCTTTTGAGATGGAATGTAATGCACATGATGATTAACCAACATACTTCTCACCTAGAGCTTCATTTGCATCTTCAAGGTCCCCAGAATGGTTCCGCTGTGCTAATATCATGATAGACCTGAAATTTTTCAAAGAAGTTCTGTGTAGCTAAATTTCTGAATGCAGCTGCTTCAGTGAAGTCGAGGAACAAGAAATTTCAAGTGCAGAGATATCCGTAAACTAGAGAGATACAGGACAAATTATCAACAACATGTAGCGTTTGGAAAGAACTTAGGCGACTTAAAATTGAAGGAGATATAATTTTCAGCGCTTATTGGCACAAATTCAACTATGGTAACCAAATTTAGTATAGGACGGGGCATATAAATTGAAGCATGGCATCATATATAATGCATCATTGTGAACAAAATTTTCATACCGAATCGGAGAAAAAAGCAGAATGGAGAAGTGGTTACCAACATTGCCACTCAGTAAAAGGCGGAACAATTTTAACTGCAGGAAAAGTGGCTCGGCCTGAGAGAAATTCCCGACCTCCAATTCACTTCATCTCTCGTCCACAGAGAAAGAGCCTTCAAACTCTTACACACACCGATAGAATCACAGCCTCCACCAGACAACTGCTTTATGGCCAACGTTAGGGCCAGCGCCGCAGTTTCGTAAACAACCAATGGAGGAAGGTGCGACGCCGCTGAGAGTTCGGAGTGTCTGAAAGGAACCTTGACCGCAGCAAATGCGATTGGTGCAGACTCGAATCTCCTGGTTGTGAGAACGAATTGGAAGAGTATGATTTGGGAAGAAATGGTAGAGAAGCGCAAGGAAAGCAGAGGATATAGAGTCGCCTTCATTCCCCCATTTATTTTTGTAATCAATTGCGGGACATAACAAAACTTACGTGGCTCCTCTATTTTAAAGATTGTATTTATTCTAACACACATATATATATATATTAATCAAAATTTATCTGTTTATAATTAAATAAATGACAGGTATATGAAAATAATAATAAATAGAAATAACAATAAAGAAAAGGTAAGAAACAAATATTTAGATATTTACCTATAATAAAATATCAAATATGATACATATGATAAACTATAATTTAGTATAAATATAATATGATATATATGGTAAACTATAATTTAGTATAAATATCTTTTAACATATAGAAAATTCTCTCCATTAAATAAACAAGACTAAGGATAAAATTCTCGTTATTAGATAAACGAGATCGAGGACAAAATTGTATTTCCCGTGTCCATTCTCGCCCATTTCACCGCCCGCCCATCCCCACTTTTTTACATATAAAAAAGTGCGTATATATATATTTGTATTATCATTGCATTTTCACGACTTTCTATGAATGGACCATCGTTTTATACATATGGAGTCAATTTTCGTGTCCATTCTCGGCCACGATTTGTACGCATTGAGTCAAATAAACGTGTAGGTTATAAGTCGAGTAATAAAGAAATGATGTGAGATATGAAAAATGAGGTGAAAAAGATGGTAGAAGTATAGAAAAGTGGTGTGAGTGTGATGGTAGAAGTAGAAGGAAGTGGTGTGGGTGTGGGTGTGGGTGGAAGTGGAATAATAAAGCTGATTGATGCCATTTGTATGTATAACTTAATACTCAGCGCCGCTCCTGAGTGATGCCTGACGTGTTAGCAGCAGCCGTCCCACTTACCTCACCTCCCCCCCCCCATTGCACTTTTCAATCAACTCCTCCATCCATATTTTGCCTATAAATCTCCTCCTTGGATTAACAACTTTGATTCCACAATATCAGAGTATGGCGAGGTGGCTTTTGTATTCTAAACCAATGCGCTTACTCGCCTGCTTCCTCGTATTGCTCCTTTGGTCTGTCTCTGTCTCTTGCCGCACCGACTTTGATGAACTGTTCCAACCAAATTGGTCGCCCGATCATATCTTCATTGAGCAAGATCACGCGAACTTAACACTCGACTCTGTTTCTGGTATAAACAAACATACCATGCTTCCAAAATCCCTCTCTAAATATGTCAATTTCTAGTTTGTTATGCTTTCTTTCCATTTATTTGTTTGTTTTAGGGTGTGGATTTGAATCTAAGAAGAAGTATCTATTCGGAAAAGCCAGTGTTCAAATCAAACTAGTAGAGGGCGACTCTGCAGGGACAGTGACAGCCTTTTACGTATAGCACACGCACTTAATATCTAAACTTTAAACCAATTTACAAAAATGAAGAGAGAACTAATCTATGTGTGTGAAATTACAGATGGCATCAGAGGGACCGAACCACGATGAGCTAGATTTTGAGTTTCTGGGAAATTTATCGGGACAACCATATCTAGTTCAAACCAATGTGTATGCTAACGGCACGGGAAACAGAGAGCAAAGGCACACTCTTTGGTTTGATCCCACTACTGATTTCCACACTTACTCCCTCTTCTGGAATCGTCACTCTATAGTGTAAGTTTATGTCTCACCTTGATCACTTTTTTTTTTTTTTTTTTTTTTGG